GTTGGTGCCGAAGCAGGCCCACTAACATTATTCCTAGTGGGGTAACAATGAGGAATCCTTTTCTTTGACCTTCGCCTGGAGTTGGTGGTCAGCAAATTAAGAATGGAAGCAATTGAACGTTCAGTGTTTTTAAGTGATACAATGTCTATTGTTATTGAGTAACCACAAGATGTCTAAATTCACTAAACTAATACCTCCAACATGAGAAATCCAGAACACCACATTTATGCAGAGAAAACATATACAATCATAACCTCAATCATTCATCCCAGTCCAAGCATCACTTAAAGAATCAACAAGCTTCCAAACACACCAGAAACAAGCACCATACCCAAGCTTACAGCAATCTTGAAGGCATCAGACTGAGCCGCGCCAGTAGACGACGCGTCATCTGAACCAGAACTGGAGCTACCAGTCTCCTCAGAGTCACTGCTATCACTGGTCTCAGGCTTGAAAGGCTTGACTGCGCGTGTGCTGCGAGAAGAACCAGTCTCCTCTGTCTCAGTGTCGGAGGGGGTACCAGAGTCAGTGGCCAGCACTTCATCGTCGGTTTCCGCGGCCTTGGACTTTCCAGCGCGTCGAGCACCTGTCGCTGAAGGATCATCTCCAGCGGGCTTATCAGCCTGAGCAGCGCCTGTGTTGTCAGGTGCATCGTTTCCAGCGGGAGAAGCACCAGGCTTCGAGTCGCCGGCAGGCTTTGGTTTATCTCCAGTATCACCGCCAGCGCCCTCAGCAGGCTTGTCATCCGCAGGCTTAGCTGGCTTCTGAACGGCAGGAGGTGCGGGAGGAGCCGTAGTAGGAACCTGAAGCTTGCCATCTGAAACTTGACTAACAGGTGGAGCAGTAATGATAGGCATTTCCATATCATCACAAGGCGTTGTGCGAACTTGAACCTGTCCATCACCAATCTGGCACATAGGAACAGCAATAGTTGTAGGGACCTCCCTCGTGGTACCGTCAGAAACAACAGTTACAACAGTCGTCGCAACAACACTGCTTCCCACTATTCTCTTCTTAGGGGCATTCTTTGCACTCTTGCCACCACAGGGCATGACGCCGAACTCGACAGGCTCACACTGCTCTGCCCAGTTGCGGTCGTAAAGGTTGTAGAAGTCGCCGGATTGACATTGCCAGAAGATTGCTGAGGAGCCGAAGGCAAGGGTTCCATTGGAACAGACTGAGAAACCGGATGTGTAGATTGCGCCAGCTTGGACGGGTTTGTCGAATTGGAATTGGTAGCTTTCAGAGATATAGCCTGTTCGATCTTTTGCGTCCTTGAGAACGCCATCCTTGAGGTTCAAGACGAGAACGCCTTCACCATTGCATGATCGCTTTTGTCTGTTAGTCAATCGTCGTGCTTGAAAGCAGGGTCTTGCTTACCTCGGTGACATCGCGCTTTGCGTTTCCGGGTTTGAAAATTGTGACTTCGAATTGACCATCGTAAGAGGTTGAGCAGCCCTTCGGAGGCTTGCCCTTGGGGGCGATATCTTCTGTGACAGCTTGGGGGATGGCGAAGGCTGTGGCTGCCAGAGCCAGGAAAGCCAGTGATGTTCTCATCTTCAAGTCTAACTATGTGAAAAATAATGCTTCAAGAGAAGAGATAAAAGACAGTTGCCTCTGTGACTGTTTGGTTTGTAGTGATGATGAGTCTCTTCAATTGAGAGAAATGGCCTGCTTGATATACATAGAGCAGTACTCCACCCTTCTGTTCTGGAACACCATATTAAAGAAGTTGCGCATCTTCGTATCGATACTGCATTATTCACACGTCAACCCCTGTGGCTGGTAAGTCCAGAATTACGGTACTGAATAATGCGATAACCAATAAAACGCTTTGTCGGCAGTCATACATACCAGTTGCTCAGCTTTTCAGCGCCTAGCTGTGGCGGAAAACCGCTAGTAAAGCAGGGAGAGCCATATCGTCAGGGCTTCGTTCACGAGCGTGGTTGGACGCCTGCAGAGTAAAGTGCTGAAACGCGCTAAGTAAAGAGAGAACTTTGTGCGCTGGAATTTTTTGTATCGATTTGAATGGCGGCGTGTTTGAGGGAGGCGAGATGGGTTGGCAGGAATGGATAAGGGGCTAGACGAGCTCAATGTCTCACTTTAGACGGGTCAAGGGATCGAATTAATTGGCCCCGTTAGAACAATGTCGAAGGCCCAAAGCTCGATATTTTACAATTAATGATAGCATGGAATTAATTGAGTGGTTGCAATAGCCTTATTCTCAACGCGTTATTATGTTTCGCGGTGATAGTTGTTCCAATATTTATCTTCCGATCAGTTCGCTGTGTCAACCACCAATGGCGTATCGCGAAATGGCTACGTAGTTCACGATCAATCATATGGCCAAGATCACCTCAAGGATTATTTTCCTTCCTGGCAATAATGCAGTTACTGCCGATTTCCGAAGTCAAGAACGTGATGGTTCTCGATTATCAGAGGAGACGCAAGGGAGTGGCGCTGAGACACGATCGACCCTACGCCAGGGGCCAACCCAGCTTCCAGGGAGCTGACAGGTTACTTGAAGAATGTGGCTGGCAATACATTAAAATCCTTGAGCTGATCGGGAGAATCGGGTAGCTGAGGTTTGATTCCGCTGCACGTTGATTTATCCGTCATCTGTTACTTGCATCAGCAAGGCAGGACATGTAAGCTGAGATTTCCGCCAACATTTGAAATGTTGTCAGCTGTCATGGTGTCTCATATGTCTCAATTTGGTACGGCCAAACTGCAGAGAGTCTTAGAAAGTCGTGCCATTAACTAACATCCGATGTGTGACAAGATAACAGATCTATCTGACTACACGAAGCTTCTCTTCTATCACTCTGAGCCATGCTGCTGGTCCAGTATCCGCTTCAAAGTCTTGATTAACAGCTGGGGCTCCGTCTGGTGAGGCGAGTGTCCTGTATCAAGCTCAAAGACAGGCACAGGATGCCCGCCGTTCTCTTCGAGCCGTGTGATGAACTGCCGCTGAGCAGCTTTCGGAACAAGGATATCCTTTCTAGTTACGATATAGCTGGATGGGATGAGTTTATGAAAACCATCGTATGTCTGCTCATCACTAAAGACTCGCAATGCCTGTGAGACCTTTGAGGCTGCTTGAGCTAGCGGCAGGCCTTGCTCCTTTGTGAGATCGCTGTAGAAGCACATGGCTGTTTCTTCATCACATACTAGGTAGTCGCCCTTTATACTCCATATCAGTCTGCATCAGGCTCCATAGACGACTGTAACATACCTCGCGGCGGGGATAACGGCCTGGGTTGGACTCATACAACCCTCGAGTACTTTTGCCCGGAGGCGCAAAGATCGCAGCCAGAAAGACTAAGCGGACTATACCACCTTTGAGGCCAGCCTTTTCTCTTTCAACGCGACTCAAGCCGCGAGTTGCTTCTGTTCCAACCATGCCGCCATATGAGTGCATAAGCAATACCACGTCGTTTCCTTGATTGATATGGTTGGACAGAACTGATGAAGCTTCCTTCACATCATCGGCCAATCCTGGTGCTGGATCAACTCTTTCTTCACGTGAAGACTTAAGGGCAACAACATCGACGGGGTAGCCTTTGTCTTGGACGGATTGCTGTATGTTGCTCCAGAAGCGAGGTAGGCTGAAGTTGCCGGGGACTATGACCAAGGCAGGCCGCGCAGCCGCACGAATGGCAGCCATATCTGAACGTTTTTCAAAGCGACAAATATCTCTATGGATCTCGAGGCACTTATTTAAATCTGCGGGGTTTTGCTACATTCAAGTTCTTGAGGGGTAAAAGAAAGATTCAGGCGGAGGTGAGACTTAGAGCCGAAGGATTCTGTGATGTAACAGAGCTTATGTCAGACTTCAACGTTTCAAGTTCAAAAAGGAAAATTGGCATCAAGTTAGTTTTTCCTGGCGTCAAAGTAGTTTCTTTAGTAGTTTTAACCACTCTTTCAGCGTACTACCGTACATGAAATATTCAAACTTCCTTTCTGGTCAACTCTCTTCCAAGATCCTCCCTGATATAAACCTCATTGAACAATCGCAGATAGACGTTGGTCTGTAAAGGCTCAAAAGCATCAACCATACTCTGGTCTCGGCCCTCAGTAATATGGACAACGCGCCAAGTGTTGACTGGTTTCTCCTCGGTCCCAACAACACCATGTTCAACATGGAAGATTGGCTGCTTCTCACCACTCGTGAGCTTACTACCATCCTGAAGCTTCATTTCCGGAATTCCGAGGAAGATTGCATTCTGATTGGCATGGTCAAGGCAGACACGCTCAATTACAGTAGCATACTCCTCTGGGTCTTTCCAAGTTCTCTGTGCTGTGATGCGAATGAAGTACTCAAACTGGCCAGATGTGCTGTGATCAAGAATCTGCAGGCTTCCTGGCTGGACCAGGTGACCAAGGTACTTGTCTGGATGGTGGGCTTTTTTTATTTCCATGTCCCAAAGCTGGGTCTTGGTGTAAGTGAATGGCTTGTCGACCTTGTAGTGGTTTGCAATGGTTGCGTTGACGTCGGAGTCTGGGGTTGTAATGGCCGTATTCTTTGGATCAGACCAGGCGGCTTCGAATTCTTTGAGATAGTTCATGTTTGCGAGACAAAGTGATAATAGGAAGATTCAGTGGTTGAGATTTGGGTTGAGGTCTGCTGTGAAAACATGCCCTCGCCGCACATTGCTCTTAAATTTATACATCGCATATTGCAAGAAACATCTGAACTGATTAGTTATCTCTCAGCCTGAAGACTGTCACTGTTACACTGCGCATCACCCTTCTTCGACATGTTGTTAGTCCTGTAGCAAATCAAAGCTCGACGCTCGTATTTGCATATGTCAGCGTGCAACATCCGTCAGCGTTATCAAATGCTATTGTAATCGCCAACTGGACATCACTCAAAGATTTGTAATGTCATAGTATTACACATAATTATCGCCATGAACAAGATTCGAATAGCAAAATGAACATTGCAGAATTCGAAGGGGGCAAAAAGAGGCATAATAGTGGAATCTAACCACCGAAGTTGGACGAACAGGGAATCGAACCCTGGACCACTCACAGAGATCGACCTTTCAAAGTAAGGAACATACTAAGCGAGTATTATCCCACTAAACCAAGCACCCTGAATTGCTTTATGATTGGTGGAAGTATATTA